GTCCCAAGTTGGAAAAAGAATGAGTTTCAGACGGGATTCCCGTGTCATGAATGGTGCACTTCAATAAGCAAGGGCGAGAGTTTAGGAGGGGAATGTCAAAACAACAGATCTAAACCAGAACAGACGTGGAACCAAGTCCTTCAGCAGGAGGACTTGCGTCTGTGTAAATAGTCAGTACGGCTGCGCCTGTCTTAAATACAAAACAAGATTATTTAGACAGAGAAGAGGGAGAAGCTAACGGCTGTAAAGGGGACAGGAAGGCTGCATACTTCCAAACCAGGAAGAGAATCAGCACTCATGAAGAACACAGGCAGAGAAGAAAGTGAGCATGTGTGTAAAGGGTTGTGGGCTGGGGAGAAACAGAAGGATTTAGAGGGGCCCGTGTGGAATGGGGCACCCTGGCTTGGGTCCATCCATGGCAAGCCTTTTTACTACTCGGTGAGAGGGGGAAAGAGCATTCCAGCATTATAGCATGCACTTCCAGAGGAATGATGGGGATAGGACCGGAGTCCACAGAACAGTGGAGTCATTCTAGTGTCCAGGAATGAATTACCACAAAATCATGTTAGGTACGGTGCTGGAGACACATGCTACGTATAACAACAGATTAAAAACAACTAGAGAAATGGCACAGTTGGTAGACTGCTTGCTGCAAAACCATGAGTGCCCGAGTTCGATCCCCAGCGCCCACATAAAAAGCTGGGCACAGTGGTGCATACCTGTAACCCCCTGGGAGGGCAGAGACAGAGGAATCCCTGGGGTCACTGGCCAGCCTGTCTAGCCTAATTGGCAAGTTCCACACTCAATGAGAAACCCTGTTTCAAAAAATAAGGTGGAGGGCAGAGGGCAAAGCACCTGCCGTTGACCTCTAGCCTCGGTATGAACTCACACATGTATAAACAAGCACCTGTACAAGTGGCGAATGTCTGAAGCCACTGTGAGTTCGCCTTCTAACCCTCAAATGGCCAACTCTGCTTCCCTTTCATTAATTCCAACATTATTGTATTCCAGGGAGCAAATCCAGTCTTCTGCATCAAATCCATCTTCCTCTAAATTTACACACACACACACACACACACACACACACACACACACACACACACACACACACACAAAGTTCTCTTTAGTATCTTATGGCCCCAGTGCAAGGCTGATAAATTACTTGGAGACCACACCTTGACCCTTGTTTCCAGTCTGTTGCCCAACCCAGCTCCACACCATCACGGGCACCTGCTTATTAGCCGCCCATACATGTGAGCACCAACCCTTCCGGCTCTCTCAAACACCCTAGCTGTCCAGTCTTTCTATCTCACAGCAAGTCACCTTTAACCTTTTATGAAAACAGTAAACTCCGCAGGCTACTTGCTGAAATCTCAGTGGGGAACGCGGAGCTGTTTGCACCCGGAGCTCACAGTTAATTGGCTGTGCGACGTTCAGCAAGTCACTTCCCATCTCCAGCTCCCCTAAGTGTGTCCAACACCACCAAGACTAAGGGTGTGAAAATACAAAGGTCTTGGGAGTTTTTTCAGCACCGATAGTGAATAATCTTCACACTCCCATCACAAGCTGATCTTAAGAAAACATCCAAGAACTAGCTGGATGAGTCCCATCCTTTTCTCTCAGACCTGCTTACTCCTATGGTGGCCTCAAGTTTCTCTGTGACCCTGCTCTACCATAGCTAATGGTCTGTTGATCTTGGCTCCCTTCCCTGAACAGTCTGAACTTTCTCCTTGGTGTTTGGGAGCCCCTCCGTCTGTGAGCGGATTTAGAATTTCCATATTAGTGCACACACAGACTGGCTCCTACTCCCGAGTTTCCATTTGCATTGTTCAGGGATAGTGGCCTCTGAAAGACTCAGGTAAAGTGCCAGGAAAGTATTTATCTGCTCACTGTGTTTCATTGGTGGCCAGACTTGGCCCTTCCCTGTTTCAGTTCTGCCCCAGGCGCATGACTCATCCACCAGGCAGCAGGAATCAGCAATTGCCACCCTCACCAGTTGGGAAAAACACAGCGCCTGCCTTTCCTCCCCAATCCTCTGTTCACTGCCCACTGCCCACCCAGAATCAACCTCCCCTGTTCACCACTTGTCATGTCTTTTTGTAACGTTTTGTGGCAATTGCAGACTGGGCAGTCTCACGAGGAAGGGCTAGGGAGATGTCCACGCAAAAGTGTCATTTTAAAAATTGGCAGGTTGGAAAAAAAAGAAATGGGTCCAAGGCTACTGAGCCTACAGAATGTTTTAAATCTGAGCAAGAAGTTTATCTGAATCCCGGGCTGAGTTTGGCCCATCTCTCTAGCTCACTTGCTTGTAACCTTTGACCTCCCCACACACCTAGGTTCAGAGTGAGAAGATTACATTCAACTGCTGGCTCTGTTCCCTACAGTCATGCAGCTCCTGAGTCATGTTTACAGCTAATGTGGCTTTAGGGTCACTGGTCTGTGCTGGTGATAAAGCCAAGTCATCACCACACAAGATATTTACAGAGAGGCCTGCAGGCCACGTCCAAACATGCACAAGTGTCTTACTTGTGTCATAGGGAGGTAGATTAGCAGGGAGTAGCTGTCTGTAAAGGGCTATTATACCAAGACACTGGATTTCTACAAGTTGATCCCCAAAACAATTCATAATGGAAATACCACTAACTACTTAATTACATAATTAAATATATAATAAGGGAAGTACCACTAAAAACCACACAGACTATGTGAGTACCTCAACAGAATAAAAACTGCAATCAAGTGTACTTCTGGGAGATAGATACATGTCATAGGAAGGAAGTCAGTACATGTAAGCTATTTAGACTTTAAGATTTTTAAATAATATCTACCACAAAGTTGAATTTATAAAAGAGACTGCCGTGGAGCTGAGCAGTAGAATGCTTGCCTGTCAATCAATGCTCTATCAATCAGTGCTCCAGATTTGATCCTCAGAACTGAAAGAAAAAGGGGAGAAAGTCCCCACAGGCTGATGTTATCAAAAAGCATTCTAAATAACTAAAACAGTAAGTAATAAGCAATAAAAATCCTAAGCTCATAGTTATCCTTAAGTGAAAGTGGGTGGCGAGCATGTAAACTTTTAATGAGCAGCTTACTACACAACAGGAATCAGTAAAAAACGACCCACTTCAGTGTGGACAACTATACAAAGGAACCAATTCAGTAGAGATTTACTTGATTCCAAGCTCCAGGCCTGTTATAGTTGAGACCTATAAGCAGGCCTGTACACGGTGATGTTTGCCATGCATCGCTTACTTAGAAAAGCAACAAAAAGCGGGGTGGCATCTATGTTTCAAATGTGGTTATCTGACACTTCCTCGTAAGTAATTGCTGGGCTTCTACGCCACTGACATCACTCAGGACTGAAGCAAAGTCTTGAAATCTGGAGAAGGTGACAGTCACTGGGTCTACATAGACATTATTTCCCCCAAGTTCAAAGTCAGTAGAAAATTTAGCAACTCACCCAAAGAGAGATTACTCACATCTAGTTTTTCTTTTTTTAAGCAAAGATTTAAATTAAGGACCATCTGGTATGTAAAAGCCAAATGTCTTTTGGTTTTCCAGATTAGATAAGAATAATCCAGTGTCTATATATTACGTAACTAAAGAAATGTATTAAGAACTTAAAACAGGCAACTGGGTGGTGGTGATGGTGGTGGTGGTGGTGGTGGTGGTGGTGGTGGTGCACGCCTTTAATCCCAGCACTTGGGAGGCAGAGGCAGGTGGGTTTCTGTGAGTTTGTGGGCAGCCTGGTCTACAGAGTCAGTTCCAAGAAAGTTAGGGCTACACAGAGAAACCCTGTCTTGAAAAACCAAAAAAAAAAAAAAAAAAGAAAGAAAAAAGAAAAAAAAGAAAAGAAAGAACTTACAAAGGCATCTTAAGTCCTCAGTCACTTCAAGCAATAAATCAGTCAGTCAGCACCGACACCTGCCTGTATATCCACCATGAAGAAATGGTGTATTTCTTTACCGCTGAAGAGCTAGAGAACTTGCCTGGAAACTGCAACTCTCTCTGTGTTGTATGGCCAGTATTCAAATGCTACTTATAGAAACTGTTTGGAATGCAATTACCACAGCCATTTATAAGAATCTGTCGTTAAATTGTTAAATTACATATACACATGGAAAATATATCACATGTTAAAGTCATTTTTATTGACCAGACTATAAGATTGTGAATCTCTCAACTTAGCTTCCCTAAGACTATCCCTAGTTTAGATTTATTGCTCATTCTGCCTCAAATAAAATATTGGTCTATTTTAAAAAGAGGTAAGCAGGCTTATATTTTAGAATGACTAAAAAGGCAATGTGCTGTCAGAAGTTAGTACTACTATATCATCACTACCAAATTTTATTTCATTCTTACTTTTATAAGAACTTAAGTCGTAAGAATAAACAATCGAATGGCTAAGAACTATAGTGATGCTCCTTAAAAGATGGCAGAAAGGATGTCATGTACTGTCACATAAGGATGCTAAACAAGAAAAACAATCTTCTCAACAGAGAAGGCCATGTTAAAGGAGACAGAATGATTCATCTGGATGAGACTTTGCAGCGTGTTGATTGGGTGCTGCAGTTTATGTTTAAGGATTTGGGCCGACTGGCCCATGCCAGTATGCTAACTGGATTCTGGGACTCTTTCCTCTGACTTTCACAAGCCGGAATACCTAGGCTGACAACTTCATAGCGAGGCAAGTCATAGCAGAAAGTCATGAATGGTCTAAAGAGCAAAATCTACCCAAATTAGTTTATTTGTGCCTACGGGTATGGTAAACTATTTGAAGGGGCTCTCATTACCCACCAGTGCCTTTTAATACCTTCTACAAGCTCTGAACAAGCAGAGCCGCTGCTCAAGCTCCTAGGGCTCTGTGGAAGAAGTCAGTAGCTGATATTGTCTATGCGCCAGTTTGGTCTTCAATGACATACCACATAGGCTGGAGTTCTTAAAGGATTCTGCATTGTGAATCTTGTTCAGTGAGTGCGGAGTGGTCTGAGAAGAAAACACTCAGAGAAGTGCCAAGTTTATTAGAGTGAGAGAATGCCACCCTCACATTGCCACCAAGAAACAAAGACCTCGGGGGCGCATGCACTGAGGAGAATCTCTAGATCCGAAGACACCCTAGCGGTCAGCAGGTCCACGCCCCACCTGATGTGCTAATCCCCATTCAACCCCACTCTCCAGTGGGCTGAGGTCCGTCTGGTAACATCTGTCCACAGCCTCACATCTGGCTAGCTCTGAATCTGCACTGCAGCAGCAGATGAAGTACACCGCCTAGGCTCAGGCCCCACAGTCCCTTTTCCTTCGAAAAAAGGATCCCAGAATCCAGTGTGAAGTCACTCAATATTCCCCACCAAGCACAAAATGAAAGAAGTACTGGAGCAAGGGACTGAGTCAGTCCTTGGGCTTTCAGAAGGCTGAGTTCCTGGTCCACAGACGGCCTCTGTAGCAGGTCCCTGGGGCCAGCCATTTCCAGGAATGCTTGTTCATGATCTCAGAAGACTCTTTCCCAAGAACAGTTAGACTTGCTGTTGTACCAGCTGCAGTTTGGCAGTCTTGACTCGATGGGCCTCTTTGAGGTTCTGTGCGCGGACTTCTGAATTGGAAATAAACTCTACTTGTTGGACGGGGAACCAGCCTTGCTCCCCATCTGAGAGTCTCACACCTTCCAGCCAGCCTGCAGTCCGCGAGAAGAGGAAGGAAGAATTAGCTGCTAAGGACCCAGGCTAACTTGTTGGACCTCCTGGCTGAAAATTAATCCACATCCTAAGACTGAATGAACTAGGGTTCTCCAGCATGAAAAACCCAGCCTGGCAGGGCATGGAGATGGCTGCCCTAGGTCTGCTGACATCTACAGCCAAACATTCTGGGACCTGCTTCACTGCTATCAGTGGAGTTTTGTCCATCAAAGTTTTTGGTACCTACCTCAAAATTTGCTCTCTCTCTCTCTCTTTTTTTTTTTTTTCAGAGCTGAGGACTGAACCCAGGGCCTTGTACTTGCTAGGCAAGCGCTCTACCACTGAGCTAAATCCCCAACCCCTCAAAATTAGCTCTTACTTGGGAATGAAACTACTGCAAATACAATTAATGAAGTTATACCAAGGCCACCCTGGAGTCGTCAACCAATCGGAATCGGTCTCTGTATAGAAAGGATAATTTATATGCACAGAGAGGGAAGAGCCCTCAAGGGTACATGTGCAGAGACCGGAGTTATGCAGCCACAAGCCATTTTGGTGCTGTCAGACTGGGACAAGATAAAGAAGGACTGTTCCTAGAAGCTCCAGAGGAGCCAGCTTACACCTTGATGTGGGACTTCTCACCGCCAGAACCGTGAGAGAATAAATTACTGTTGTTATCAGCTGTGTTCAGTGCTTTGCTGTGGCGGCCCTGGAAAGCTAGGGCGCCTCCTGCTGCCTCTGCTGGCCAGCCTCCTGCTCATGGGCTCCCCCTCTTACCATCGCTGCTCTGCTGAGTCACCATCACCACATCCGCCTTCTCCAGTGCCAACTCATCATTCTCTCGGGGCTTGTAGGCGCGGAGACACTGAACCTGTGGGGAGTCTTTGGAAGAGAAGAGTGAAGAAAAGTGAGGAGCCGTGACTAGGACACACACAAGGAACTGTGAGGGGAGTGTGGAAGGCCCGGAGTAGAGATAAGCACGGGTGGATCTCTGTGAGTTTGAGTACAGCCTGGGCTACAGAGCATGCCTAGGTCAGCCAGGGCTACAGAGTGAGAACCTATCTATAAAACATAAAACAACAACAACAACAACAAAAAACCCAAACAAACAAAAGCCAGGAAAAAAATGACAAACCCAACAAAAACAAAAGAGGTGATTAGAAATATCTTCATCATCTACCAGGGATCAAACCAGCCAATAAAGAAATAGAAATATGAGTATGGGATCTAATTTTTAAAAATTCTACTTCTGGGGAAGAAGACAGGAAAATACCTTGTGACCACATTTAATTCCTCATCATGGCAAAACTTGAGGTTCAGCTGAAGACCCAGCTTCTCTCTTAGATGTTCTCTGATTGATCTTTCAGTTTTCAATGGCTTTTGAACTCCTTAGAACTGATGGTTGGAGAGGAACCATTTATCCCTTAACCAACTATTTTATGCATGTGTTTTGCTTTGCTAGGGCAGAGCACAGATTTTGTTCCAAAGGGAGCAAGATCTAGTACGCTCTGAGCCAAATAAAAGTGACCATGGCCTAGAAGCATAGAGTCAAGTTGCCATGAATGACACATTCCACTGTGGAAGAGGTTACTCCTATGGTCCCAGAACAAAAGCAAGGCATGAATCAATGTGTTTGCCAATACGCTGGTGAGGTCCTCAGGTAGGCAGGTTATAGCAGAGAGAAAACATCTCTCCTATAGGTTGTTGACATTATCTTAACAGACTTGGCTTTAGGGCTGGTGAAAGTTAATGATTTACTAAGTTTAATAATACATTCCACATTCCTAATGGTCACAAGGATGTCAGGTCAGATATAGTGGTTGGTAATAAAGGCTATTATTGTGATAAAAAATGGCACAAGTTAATTTTGGCTCTTGATCTGTGATATTCCATGTTCACAATCACAAATTTCCAGTCAAGTGGTCCCTAGGATCTTCAGCACAGAACTCAGAACTTAGGTGACAGCTTTTCCAACAAGATTCAAAATCGAAGTCTGTGAATCGTTCATCATTTTCTTCAATGTTTCAGTAAGGGACCCCTCTCCTTTAAAAATAGTCTTCTAGCATTAGACTTTCTGGGTGACTTGGGTGCCTTTGATTCCTTTTGACCTTAGTTTCCTCATCTGGAATTGATCAAGATGATCATTTGTTTGTTTGTGTTTGTTTGTTTGTACTTGAGACAGGGTTTTTTTGTGTAGCCCTGGCTCTCCCTGAACTCACAGAGATCTACCTGCCTCTGCTTCCTGAGTGCTAGGATTAAAGGCTTGTGCTACCATTGTCCAGTGATCAAGATGATCATTGATCAAAGTGATTCATAAGGAAATTCTAGATGCTTTCTTATGAGCCAGGCAGCATTTCCATAGACTGGAATTAAGTTCAAGATAACAGAGTTCAGAGAACGTCTGTCCTCGCAGCAATCTATCTTCGATGGGTTTGTCTTTATACTTTGCTGCACTCTTCTGATTTGCAGAAAATAAATAGAATGCTACATTATTAATAGTGCACTGTTTTTTTCTAAAGCTCGGCATCATCTTCCATCCACGGGAAATGCAGTAAAGTGAAGTAGTCCCCTCCACCCTCTCTATCTACCATAAATGAAGTGAACCAATGGACTGTATGGCAAGCAAGCAACACTGAGTTCAGCTGGGTTCTCCTTAGGTCCTTTTCCAAGGTTCATTACACTCATTTGTTCTTTTTACCCATAAAAGGCCCAGTGTTCCTTTGCCATGCTCTGGGCTCTGGCTACCTCTGTGTGTTCTGGGTAAGCAATGTCAGCTACCTGGGCATGGCCATCTCAAATCAATGTTGGTCTTTTCTTGTCCTCCCCATTGAAGCTACACTGTCTCCCCTTGTTTTCCTCTTACATCTTCAATTAGTAAAACTAAGTCAAAATCATAGTGGATTAGACTTAAAGGAATATATATTTTATAAAGAACAAATATGTGCCTAAGGCAGTGAATGTATGAGATACAGTACTACCATGGTAAATGACAGGGGTTTTTTTTGGTTTTTCAAGACAGGGTTTCTCTGTGTAGCTTTGCGCCTTTCCTGGAACTCGCTTTGGAGACCAGGCTGGCCTCGAACTCACAGAGATCCACCTGCCTCTGCTTCTCGAGTGCTGGGATTAAAGGCGGGCGCCACCACCGCCCGGCGTAAATGACAGTTTTTAAGTAGATGTATCACAAGTGTTTAAGCTTCTACCACCAGCAATTCATCATGAAATTCTAAGAAAAACCAATAAACAGGAGACTTTTAGAGTTACCACCCAGTACACTTAACCCTTCATCTAAAGGAGACCACAAATAGACACTACCATTTTCGTTACATCCTTGCTCACCGTAGCACTCAAGCAGGTCCAACTCCTCTCTGGGCATGGCCAAGGCCGAGATCCATCGGAGCTTTTCACTTCTGAAAAAAACAAAACAAAAGAGTCATAGCTTCAGTTAGTGTCTGGGGACATAGGCTGAGGGCCAGTAGTGGGGAAGGCAAGTGGCTACCCTAAAGCCAGTGGGATTCTGCCTGGCTGGAAACATGGAATGATCTTATAATATGTGTTAGTGTATCTTGTGTATCCTTCCTTTCTCTCTTCAGGCATATCTTCCACAAAAAGTCATAAGGTGAACTGTCAATCATACGCATGAACATTTTTCAGTCTGGAAATCATACCAAGCAAAACACTCATCTGTTTAGACATGACCACTCTGCATGACTCTTGCTCCTCACTTACCTCCCTTCAATTAAATATCTAAGATGAAAATTACTGTTTAATAACAAGTATAATAACAAGTAAGCCAAGGAGCTATCTCCATTTCATTGTTGTTGTTGTCTATAATGTGATCTCAAACTAATTTTTGATCATCTGAATGTTCTTCTATTCTCTTATCCTGTTTCCAAATGTACCTAGGTTATTGAGAATGACACTTTCACTTTTCCAAAAAGATGCTGCCCAAAGCCCTAAAAAAGAACACAAAGCTACATCGAATTATTTATCTAAGGTAAAATCCTGAATACAAACTCATGTCCTATCTTTTCTGTTCCATGGGTAGAGATAGGAACCATTGACCTTACTAGAAATGTCTTCCAAGGGACCAAGCTGAAAAGCACCCACATTATGTGGGGTCTTAAACCACGGAAGTGTTTAATAATTTTACAGACAAGCTTTTCCTGTGTCTCATATAGTACCAGGAAAGCACTGGGTGTTCTTTAGTTTGTATATTATGTACCAGATTCTACAGTTATCATTTCAACTCTCAAAACAGTGTGTATATGTATATGTGATTGTATTCATTTGTTATTATCATTGGAAAGATTACAACCCCTATTTCTTAACACTAGATTTCTGCTCAGTGGAGGATGAAGCTAGGGGATTAAGGAAAAGAAGAAAGCATACAAGGTGTTTTTTATTCATGTAAGTGCCCTATAGCCTTGGCTCTGGGTTGTACAGATGAGCTGGATCTCTCACAGATACAGCAATCCAATTCTCTGCTCATTTGATGCCAGCTCATCTCCCTCATGATGTCTCATAGAACTTGTGATTTTTAGTACACTGGAAAGCAGATGTTAAGAAGGTGGCAACTTTGCATGTCCAGCCCACACTGAATCTCCTTCAAGTTACTGCTTAGCTCTGGGGCTTTGGGTTTCTCTATGAATGATCCCCACTCCAGAAGTGCTGAGGCCATGGTCTGGCACATCCTCCCCCAACTGCTGCCCAGCCCCATCTCACTGAGTCTCAGTTCGGAAGAGGAACTCTGCTTGGGTGCCCTGTGTGTTGTGCAGCAGGAACAGACGGAAGAGGTTCTTGTGAGGTCCATGCAGCTTCATTTCACACTTTTCCCCTCGAATGGAGGAGAATGGAGCATGGTCAAATACCAGGAACCGGCTGCCTCTGCAAGACAGAAAGAAGTCTTTTAAGTCTGATTCTATAGTTTTTGTACTGCATCCACTCTCACCCTCATAGTCTTAAATTCAAGTTCTCTGCTCTTCGCTTCTACAGACTGTATTCATATAAAACCCGTATGAGGGCTTCAACCTGCTCTCAACACGATAATGCCAATGTCTCAACCATTTACTGCAATAGCACTATTTACTACTTTAAGAAGTCGAAGAGATAAGAACCAATGTTAACTTTCTAAGGTCCTAAAGACCAGAGTTTAAGCTCTGAAATTAGCCAAGTGGATACATTGGCTAATATGCTAGGCACAACCCAATGAAGCCATAGATAAACTTATTTAAAAAGATAGTGTTTCTTTGCTGTGGTTTACTCATGTCTATAACATGGGACAGGTCCGGTTCTGTGACTTCATGATGTAATTTGGTAATATTAACCCCCTACTTCTGTTCTCTAAGCTATGACTCATGACTCAGACTGTGAGTTGTCTGAGAACGGATTCGTTGGCAGCAGGTCATTTGGTGTCCCTCTAGACTTATCCCATTCTTTCATACGCCCTATGTCCTGGCCTCCCATCCCAGCACTGACTCTCGGGGTCGGGACAGCAACAAACAGTCATTGAAGAGATGCAGATGGACAGGACGAGTGGTCAGTTTCCTCCTCAGCCCTGGGGAAGCACTGAACTCGAGGGCTGTCAGCTCCCCACTCTTCACCAGCCATCGAGATTGGGAAATAAGCGGGAAAATCTAAAGATCAGGAAGAGAGAAAAGACAGGTCATGAGCTTCCTCTCAGTCTTGCCCAACCAACCCACCACCAATACCAGATCTTCCCTCTTGCTCTTAACCAACCCATCCAGATTCTGTTGTCTCTCGGAAACCCTCTAACTATACCACACTAGTGTGTGGATCTTGTGTTTACATGCTCAAAGGAAGGTGATTCTGATCTAACAAGTGATGATGTGGGAACAGAAGTCTGTGAGCCCATGCAGAACATGTTAATGAACAGGAGGGCATAAGACCTCATCCTAAAAGTCTAAGGATCAGTTATGTTATCTGTTCTTCCCTTGATGATGATCAGAGCCAAGACAGGCAGTCAGAATCAGTCATGGAGCTGAGGATAAGGAGATCAAGGTGGGGTCTGCTGAGAACTGGGGCCTGGGAAAAGAGCTCTGATAGAACTTAGAGAAGGACTTTCCTTCTCTTCTAGGGAGACAAAGACGGTATCTGTAATGCTCTGGAATTTCAATGTTGAAGATCAATTTTCTATTTGTTTGGACAAGAGATTTTGAGGTTTTTGGCATGTTGCTTTGGTTAGATTAAAGGTGATCTGATAAAATAAGTGAGTCAAGCATTCATAACCCCTAAATTCTTATATTCTGGGAAATTCCTTCTGTCCATTTATTGAGCGCTCCTCCTCCTTTTCCAGTAACTACTGCCCCCCCTTCTCATTATCCTGACAGTTTCCTTATGCACATTCACAGACGCAGCAATATATTTACATCCTCTACTTTTACAGCAAAGGTAATAAAATCCACACATAGTTCTATGCCTCCACCTATTAACATGTCTTGTAAACTAAACGATCATTTGCATATTCCAGAAATGGAGAGAAGGGCAGGTAGAACCACTGGAGACTGGAGATGATGTAAGCAAGATGACTGTCAGAGGATGGTCTGTAGGACATGCTAAAGAGATTCGGAGGCAGGAAGGTGTGCCAGGGACAGCTCACTTTGCATTCAAACTCAATCTTCTGGCTCAGGTAGATGAGCTCCTCTGTCCGCCGCATCCTCTGCACATTGTTGTTGCAGTCTCGGATCAGCTGAGAACAGAGCAGGGTAAAGGAAGGGGAAGATCACAGTGTTAGAGTCTTGAGCTGTAAGTCCCAGTCAAGCAATCTGAGAAGATGCCTGCAAACCTCGGTCTTTTCGACCAGGCTGGAGCTGAAGGAACAGCATCAAATTCATGTTTTAGATGGCTAAACTACTTTACATGATCTGAGAGAACATACTGAGGGACTGTGGTATTGGGACTGTGGTATAGTTGCTAGACATGGAATGTGAAGAAACAAGTTTAGTGCAGGCAAGGAGGTGGCTGAGGTCTCCCCTTAATAGTGTCCCATGTCCCATACTTTCTTCAGTCATGAGTACCAGGGGAAGGAGTATTATAGGTTATTGGATATGATGGCTGCCTACCTTCTCCAAGGCATGGTGTGCCTTTGTGGCCTCTGCCTCTTCTGAGGAGCCAGGCTGGGTTCTCTTCAGAATGTTCTGTAGAACAAATAGTGGACAAGAGCCAGATGGGAGGAAGAATGGATAAACAGGAAGAGATAACGGGGGGATATCTGATGCAGAAGTCAGGGACACAGTTCCAAAAGCAAAGATTTCTGAGAAAGAAAGAAACTGTGTGCAGTTGTGAAACTGCTCACATCCTCCACATGATGTGGAAACTTCACAGAAGAATGGAGGATCTTTTTCCTCCAAACCTCCCAAGATCATGTCTTTGGGTCAAGGAAATTAGACTAAAGAAGTATCTGCCATACCTGGAGTAGCAACTTAAGACGGGTGATACGCTGGAAGGGCAGTATCAGAAAGGACTTGAGAGACAGGCGTTGGCAGATGGGGTCACTCTCCAGCTTCTCCAAGACCTCCCGGAAACTGCTGTTGCTATTCCTATATGAGTAGCAAAACTCAGGGTGAGGAGGGAGATGGGGAGTAAAGGGGGCTCAGTGAAGGCCTGGGGAATGGAAGTGTAGGATCTGGGAGTGGGAAAGAATGGTGAGAGCCTATGTACAGGGTCCAGATGTGACTGCAGGGACAATCTGATATGGGGAGTGGGCTGAGACTTCAGCTGACACAGTAGGCAAAAGAACAAGTACTCTGAGGACAGCACTCTGGGCGAGGGACTAAGTCAAGGTCACGGCAATGTCCACGAAGGGAACGGACAGGGATCATTCTCACATTAGGCTTTGGAAGGTGCGTTCCTGATAGGTCTGGTTGGTGACATAAGGCAGGTAGACTCGGTGGAACTCTGGGGCATGATTCAAGACAACATCACATACTTGGAAGGAGAAGATGTTGTTCTCAAAGTTTTCTTCTAGGTCGGAAAGGAACCTGCACAGTATTGAAACAGTCTCATGAAGCATGGGGCCTTGGCTCAGCATGTTTCAGCCCTGTATATTCTGAGCACGCAACTTCTGTTTCCATGACCACTAACTTCTACTGCCTCTCCTCAGCTCTGTGGCCTTGTTATGCAGCACAGCCCCCCCCCCCCTGCCTCCCCAGGCTGTGACTAGTTCATTCCTGATTTAAATAACATTCTATTTCTTTTTCTTCTTTTATTCTATTCTGGTTTGCCAGTCTTTCAGTGATTTTTAAAAAAGATTTATTTCTTATTTAATGTATATGAGTGCTCTACCTGCATACCTGCATGTACACCTTTATGCCAGAAGAAGGCATCAGATCCCACTATAGAGCCACCATGTGGTTTCTGGGATTTGAACTCAGGACATCTGGAAGAGCAATCAGTGCTCTTAACTGGTGAGCCATCTCACCAGCCCCCTCTTTCAGTGATTTTTATACCTTGTGTCCACTGCAGTACACACCCAGAATGTATGTAAAACCCCGATCCAGGAAGCACATCTCACTCGTCTATTAACAGATGTGAATCCTCATACTCTTGCCTCTTCTTAGTTTTTTCTACCCTGCTTCCTTGGAGGGAGCCCAGGCCCACTTTCATACAGAGACTGACAAAGAGAAGGTGTCTATGAGGGAGGAAAGAAGCTGAAGATTCAATGGCTAAGAACAGCGAGGTTGAGAAGATGGAGTTTGGAAGAAGTCTCACGTGGTGCTGACATCTCGCACATCCTGTAGACGGGAGAAGAGCCACTGGTGATCCTGGGCGGACAGGATGGCCCGAAGTTGAGCTGAATGTTGGAAATGATCCACAGCTATGTTTAGACTGCGAAGGTAAGACGCCTCTGACACGATCAGCTCAAATTTGGCCTAGAGGGTGGGACAAGAGGAAGATTCATGAATACTTTTATGAACTCTCTGGCAGATATCAGTTGTTGAACAATGTTTTAGGGCCAAACACTGAAGTAGGTACATTGTTTCATCACTCACAGTCACAAAATTTAACTTAGTCTAACAGAGATGCGAAAAGTATTTGAGTATGTAAGATTCAACCTAGGGGCTGAAGAACATGTGTAAGCCTCTATGTTTTCAAGAAACTTAAAGCTCTATTTGTACACATATGCAAATAACTCTGTGGTATCACAGATATGTTAATTTACCACATCATAGTAACAATTTTACCAACAAAATAGACTGTGTTATACCTCATAACTAGGTGGTTAATATTTTAAATAAACACAATGAAACTTATTTTTAGAGAAGAAACAAATAATTGAGCATTTCTAGAACTTTTACTAAACAAACAAACAGAAAAGAAAGAGGAAATGATGCCAGAGGGATAAGTAGGCTATGTAAGGTGGGCTATGTAAACAATGCAGCACAACAGAATTAACTGGGTAGTTTTTTATTTTTTGTTATTATTATTATTTTTTTTAAAGACACTATCTTTTAGCAAGTGTGGAAAAGACTAGAAGAGGTAGGAGCAATGTTGGGAAAGGGTACCATGTCTAGCTGGGAAATGAAGGCCTGCCAGTCCTAGGCATATTAGAAGTAGAAAAAGACATAGACTGCTCTAAGCATCAAGCAGGCAGACTTGGAAGACTTGATTTGCTAGAACTGGGGTGTACAGAGGAGGAGCCAAAGCCAGCACCTTGCTTTTCAGTTGGGTAGTGGGTTGGATGATGGAATCGTTGATGAAGCCACAGTGCTCATAGTAGGAAAAGACTTAGGGAGGAAGGTGACAAGCTCAATTTGAGGTCTGAGGAGAAATAGAAACGGAAAGAAGGAGGATATGTGAGAAAAGTTTTAGTTTAAAATGGAAACCAAGCACTTAAGAATGTGTGTGGAGGCTCCAGCAGGGGGGCGCAATGACCCAGACATGACCAATGGACTCCTTTCCCTTCTCAGCATGGAGCTTCAGTAAGGCCACTTGGATGAAGAGAAAGACAGACATTCATTGCTGATCACTGAGATAGCCAACCACACAGGGACTTTCTATACAACCCTGAACCATGACACTACACATTTATTTAAGCTTCTGAAACTTAAGGGTATTTGTTGTTGTTTTGTCCTTTTACATAGATATAATGAACCCCCCTCCAAACACACACACACACACACACACACACACACACACACACACACACACACACACACACACACTTCAGAGAACATGATTGGTAAAAGGGCTGGAGTCTGTGAAGGAACTTTGTAGGCTCCCAAGATATTAGTTCATGAACTGAGTGTGTGTGTATGAATGAGTGATGCAGAGGCCTCCCATCTCACAGAGTCATCAGGAATGAGGGCTGGACTCCGTGAGTCCCTAGCTTCCTAAAGATTCAGGGAGAGGTGGCTGGAGTTCATTTCATCTTCCCATTCTTTGATGGGAAGAAATGAATACAGAACAGGTTAGTGATTTTCTCAACGCATGTGTTTTGAAACTTACAGTGAAATTATATAGCTTGTCTAAGGTTATCCAGCTAGTACATGAAGCCAGGTTTGTATCATCAAAATTCAAATCGTCATATTTTTCTGACTGATGATTCTGTAGTAACCATTTATCCCCCCCCCCCCCCCAGTAACTCTTTGTATCTGTTTTACAAGTGGGAAACAATATCTTGGAGAAAGCAAGGGATTTGGCCAAATCAAGCAAGTAATGAAGGCTTTATGTCTAGATCATCTGTTGTGGAACCCAGTTACTCAGATATTAATTACTCTATCCCACTGTGCCCTACTTTCTCCCTGGGAGGAAAGGTTCTACCTCTTATTTCAGACAGATCTGAAAGCAGGAACTGCTTATGGAAAACTTACTAATGGTCCCAGCTTAGAACCAGACAAGCATTGTCTCCCTCAGTCTTGATACTGGGCGTGATGACCAAGCAGGGCCAGTGAGATCAAAAGAACCAAAGGACAAGAAGTTGTCCTCTTCAAAGGAGCCAGTCCAAAGACTGAGCGTGGGGCTTGTCTGAAATACTTGTAGAAGTGGTAGGGAGATTATAGCTCATCATGAAGTATCAGTGATGAAGTTACTTTCACATCCCTCCCAACGAATTCAGAGGTACATAGGAGCCCAAGCCAGTACAGGCAGGAGTAGATGGCACATGCATGAATGTGGGAAGTGGGCTGAGTGCTCAGATTCTGAGAGCAGTTCACATTCTTCAGCATGGCAGTGAGCATGCATATACAGGGGACTGCGAGGTGAGGACAGCCTGCTCTTGGTGGCAACGGTGAGGAGGAGACAAAACATTAGCAAATATGACTTTGTCGTCGTCGTCCCCCCCCCCCCTGCCCTGGGTGGTACCTCTTGCAGTTTTTGATCTTCATGGGTCATGGAGAGCAGCACTGTGCTGTTGCGCACCATAGGGATTTCCTGCCAGAGGGAGCCACTGGAGGCCATGGAGAGGCGCTGTAGGTAGGAGTCTGAAGATACCATTGCCTTTCGACGCTGCCGGGGGGAAGCGAGTCCAGGTGCCTCCGCTAGGCTGTTCAGCCGCTGCTGGCTCTGAATCTCCTTGTTCAGAACAACATCACTGTACTCCTGATAAAGTAGCTGGGCTATGGGTGAGGATTCATGGGTGAAGAAGAAAACTTTAAGAAAATGAAGTGAGTGGAAGCCCACAGCCAGAAATTGCCATCTATGGCTGACCTCTGGCAACCCTTTCTTCTGGACACCACCACTCTATTGCTGGCAGTCATGAGTCCCTGTCCCACTTTAGGCAGAAAGCTTAAGCCTAGAGATCTGTTTCAAGGCACTCACAGGAGTTGATGAGCTTGGAGCAGCGTCTTGAAAAGCCTCCTGTCCCCTCCTTCGGTTTCTTCTCCCTGTGGAGTAGGGAGGCTTTGGGGTGCTTGCTGACCATGAGACAGAAGACCCCCAAGTGACTTTAGATGAAGAAATCTCTAATCCTCTGGACACAGGCTGGGATGTCAGGACCAAAGGAACAGTGGCTTCAATCGATTCCCATCGTCAATCTTTCTTTTCAACCCCTCTCCCTTACCTCAAAGTCCAGAGAAGATCCTGCGGACTTGGGGAAAACTTGTAAATTCTTATAAAAATGGGGCAAGTCAAACAATAACCCCAGATGTGGAAGGAGACTGGTTTCTAACCATATGCTTGAGGAGGACAGTAGACCCAGACACAGCAGGTAGAACTGGGATGATCCAGACACTGCCCTTTCCGACAGTTCTGATACCTTCCTCTTCCTCTCCTTACTTTCTGAAGATAGAGGCACCAGGAATACTGGGTCCCAGTGTCCTTATCCACTGAAGTCCTATTTTTAAGATTTTTATTTATTTATTATGTATACAGTGTTCTGCCTGCAAGTATCCCTGCAGGCCCAAAGAGGAACCAGATCTCATTACAGATGGTTTTCAGCCACCATGTGGTTGCTGGGAATTGAACTCAGGACCTTTGGAAGAAGAGCCAGAGCTCTTAACCTCTGAGCCATCTCTCCAGCCTTTACTAAGGGAATCTTAAGAGTCATAAATGAAGACCATAGAGTTGAGTTTGTGAGGAGCCAGGGCAACTCACCGGAAAACCACAGAATCTGAAGAGCCAGGGGGTCTTCCCATGCTTGGATTTCTCAAATCTGGAGAGGGAAATGGGTGACATAACAGGGACATTTAGAGAAAGTGAAAGGATGAGCAGGAGTCACAGATGAGCAGAGGGAAGACAGTTCTACTAGAATCTGGAAGAGAAGACAACACTAAAGGCAGAGGAATTCTGGGAGTCCAGCATGCCATGTCCCTGGCCCTCATTCAGAATAGAAGACTGGTATCAGCAGTGCCTCCAGCCTTCAAACAGATGGGAAGTGCACAAAGAAATGGTGCCTTAAGCTCTTCAAGACAGGGAGCAAGAAGGTGTCGCCACGGAGGGAGTCTGGCAACGTCAGGATGAGGTGGACTTCAGAGGAAGCCAGAGATGGAAAGATAGAAAGGGAGGAAGAACATTCTGACGGGATCACGGGATCATGAGTTTCTGAGTTGATGGTAAATATGCAGGTGAGGGAAGCTGCAGAGAGAGCAGGAGAGACCCCTGGAATGGAAGAAAAGCTGAGCCTAACACCGATCTCCCTGCACCCTCTGCTCCCCACTCACCTGCAGAGCTCTCGGGCAACAGAGAAGGTCTCCGCAGGCCTTGCCGGTTCCAGCCCTTGTGCTTGTGGGAGGCCTGGCCCCCAGCCTGTTCACTGCCACTCTCTGTTCTCGCTGGGTCCTGCCTGCGGGGCCAGCTGCATGCCTTCTCCAGTTGCTGGTGGATGGGTTTTTCTGACTGTTTTTTTGGTCCTAAAGCTGACCTCCGTGTGTCATTACATCCCTCCTGAGGGACTGATCTTCTGAACGATCCTCTCACGGGGGGCTCAGACTCTTCGGTGAGCTCCGACTCATCCTTACTGGTAGGTCTCTGAAGTTCCGGGGTACAGGGAGTGGTAGGGGAAGAGGGACTTAGAAGGTTTATCATGTTGCTGAAAGCCAGGCCAGGGGACACTTCAGTTACACCCCCACTGGTGGGAACCAACGATTCTGTTGATCTGCCTGTAGCCGGGGGCCAAGAGGTCCGTCCGACAGAGAGTGTGGAGACTGTCCAGTCTTGGCCAGTGGGTCTTGGTTTGGCTTGGCCCCCTGAATGTATAACGCCTCCCTGGATACTCCTGCTTCTCTCCCTGGATTTTGGTGGTAATGGGGGTGGTTCAGAGGAAGGGACTGGGGGTAGAGGTCTGTACATCTTTGGTACGCTAGGCGGGGAGAGGGGAGAATGGCCGAGATCAGGCACATAGGGAGTTGGGGGCAATGGTTTGTTGTATCTCAGCCTGGAGGAGATGGAGGTCTGAGTATGGCGGGGGGTCTCTGGGGTGGCTGGCAGAGGGCGGTGCTGCCTCGCCACAACAGAGTCAGGAACTAGCGGGAACGAGCCTTCAGGAGACCCAGGTAGCCCTGAACTTAGGGCCGATGGAGGAGGATGACTGTATCGCTTCACTGTGGGGGCTACTACATGAAGATGGCCGTCCCTCTCCACCACGGAACTGTAGCTATGTCTCTTTTCTGGGGGAGGAGGGGGCAAGGCTTCATGTTTCCTCATGTCCATGGAGACAGTGGATAGAGAAGAAACATTCCCAGGAGAACCCACGGCAAAGGCTGAGTTCTGTGGGGAGCCCCACAGCGGACTACCATGAGGCTCGCCGGGACTCTCTGGATTTGAAGTGAGTCCTTCGGAGTCCTGTCTCAAAGCAAAGAAAGCAGCAGAGGATTCTGAGAAGACGATGCCGTCCCTACTTCTTCTGCCTCTTCGTGGGATCAGAGAGCCATAGATGGCAGGTTTGGGGGGCCTCTGTGGTAATTCCGAATGAGAGAAAGAAAAAGACTTTCCCACGGAGTCTGGAGTCTGTTCTGTCCTGTGAGAGCCTGGGAACGAATTACTTCTTAGATGCTGGGTGGCTCCAGCGTAGCTGGTGAGAGGGCTGTGAGCGTTGGCCTTGTCAGGGGTGGCACATGGGTCCTTGCGAGCTTTTGCAGGTATGGGAGGAGCCTCAAGTGCCCCACCATGAGGTGGAATGTCAGTTGAGAGAGAGGCTGCTAGGGTGTCCTTCCGAGGTGACAGGGTGGCAGTGACGGGGAAGACTTCAGTGGGACTGAAAGGAGCTGAATCCGGTGTCCTTGGAGGAGTCATCGATACACTAGCAGAGACAACCTCAGTCCCCTGGGGGAACACTGTCCCTTTCTTCAGCCTGAATCCTTCTTGCTGGCTGTTGTGAGTCCTATCATCAGGGGGTTCTTCAGTAGCAAAAGAGGCAGGTGGAGAAATGGGTTGGTGAGGCCATTCTACTGGCTCCTGTGCAGGAGTCAGAGCTGGGGGGATCTGTTCCTTGGGAACAGGTTCCCTCTGAGCCCCAGGAATATCAGCCACAGAGCAAGAGATGTCTGGAAACAATGCTCCTGAAGAGAGAGCCTCGGGAGCTACGGGATCCACTGGAGGACAATGCTTGTTGTTCTCGTCTGTTCTCCTCCCTTCCACGGCTGCCTGTCCACCCCCTTCCCTATTCCCTCGCTCCCCCTCACCTGAGTCTACAGCCTCCTCCTGGTCCTCAGCCTCCTCCTGGTCCTCAGCCTCCTCCTGGTCCTCAGCCTCCTCCTGATCCTCAGCCTCCTCCTGATCCTCAGCCTCCTCCTGGCCCTCAGCCTCCTCCTGGCCTTCTCCTGGCATCACTATTTGGGTTTCATCATTATCTCCCTGCTTTCCACTTATACTCTCTGATTTCACTACTAACCTCTGATTCCCTGCATACTGAGAGTCTGCCCTCCTCTCTTCCACCCCTCTTAATCCCCTGACCCACCCCTCCTCTTCTGAATCTCTCTGACCCTGAACCCTCCTATCCCTGTCCTCTTGACCCCACTCACTGTAATCCAGAGCCTCCAGTTCCCCACTCAGTCCCTTACTGGCCCTCTGTCCTCCGAGCATTCTATGGTTTTGCACTCGTTCCTGTTCTTCCTCACAGCTACTAACCTCCTCTTCCTCGTCTTCCCGATTCCCTGGAAGCCCATCAGAACAAATGTCTTCCCTCAGACTTCCTTCCTCCTGAATTTTGACTTCCTGCCTCTCGAGTCCCTGGGCCTCCTGAGGTTGGAGGAGGCCTCCTTGACCGTGCTCTTCTTGCGTGGCCTCCATCTGCAGCACTTTCCACTGCCTGACCGGTCCACTTCCATGGCCCCCAGACTGGTCTGTCTCACCAGGGTGCTTTTTGCAGGGAGGCCAAAATCCTCTAGGGCTAGAAGGGTCTGGCGAGGTGTCTTTCTCTTCTTTTGCTTTGCTAACTGCCAGTGTCAAAGACATGAGTTCTGGCTGCAATTCTAGCTCCACTGTGCTGTCCAGTTTGCTGGATTTGTCTGGCCATTCCTCCCGAACAGCACAGGCCAAGAGCTCTGGGACAGCTATTGTTCTTGACAGGCTGTCTTTAAGGCTCTGGGATACTGCTTCCAGTGGGTCTGGAGTGTGGAAGGCCTCAGCCACAAGGATTTCCTGGTTGGTCTCCACATCTGAAGAAACTTCCTTTAAGAAAAATCCCATACTATCAGGTATGTGGTCACTCATGTCCCTTAACTCCTGTGGCTGGCCCATCAGGGGTCTGTGTCCATCTGCCCACTTGTAGGATGAGTCTTGGCCTTCTTGAGCTTCAGGCTCCAGGGCAGGGATCTGACTGCTCCTCATGATAGCTTCAGGGATTGCTTTCGATTCCTCTATGGTAGGGATGGGTGCAGATGCTCCATGTTCAGGCTGCTCAGCCTCCATCAGGGCTGAATCCTAAAGAAGAATACAAAACAAGAGTTTCCAATGCCTCCTTCATCTGTGTCCAAAGGGAGAGATCAGGAAGACGAAAGGGAGACTTCTGTCCTTCTATTCAGGGTCATTCTTCAAGACAGGTATTCAATCAAATAAGCACTAGCCTTCCTATGTCTCGTTCAACTTTATTTATTTTTAAATTAAACTAAGCTACACTTTCTTTTTAAAGATTTTTTTCAAAATTTATTTTTATTTATACATTATCTATATGTACACACAGTGCCCACAGAGTCCAGGAGAGGGCAATAGCTCCCCTGGAACTGGAGTTACAGGTGACTGTGAGCCACTAATATGGGTGCTAGGAACTGAACCCTGGTCCTCTGAAAGAGCAGCAAGTGCTCTTAACTGTTAAGCCAGCTCTGTAGTTCCCAAGGGACTTAGAAGAACTAGGGAGATGGTTCATTTGGTAAGTGTAATAAAGATTTACCTAGAGGGAATGGGAAGATGGCTCAGTTGCCATACAAACATACGGACCCTAGCATACACATAAAAATGCCAGGAGAAGTAAAGTGTGTCTATAACCCTAACATGTGTAGGGGTGATCAGGGACAATGGATCTCGAGTTTCTTGGTCAGCCAGCTAGTCAATCAATGAGTACCAGTTCAGTGAGAGCTTGTCTCAAAAGATAAGGTGGAGAGCCTTCAAGGCACACACACACACACAATTTACCTAGTGACCCTTTTATGTGTAGGACAATGAGCAGTGACCAAGACATAGCGCCTGGTGGATCTTGTGGGAAAAACCGATTACAAACAACTCAATTAGCATGAAAGACCATTGTCAAAGAGTTCCAGGAACTGCCAGTGGTCATTGCCCTCTAAGTTCTATGATGCCATTGTCTAGTCCTCCCTGTCAACTCTCTGGACTCTCAGTGTGACTCAGCCTGGAATAACTACCAGACATGAGGGCCGACACACCCTCCCTCTAAGAGGCCAGAGAAGCAGTGTCAGGCGTGCAGCCATCCTCCGGAGCCGCTGACATAGGATTAAAGTAGGTCAAGCTGTTATAGCCAACGTGCAACAGATGAGTCCTTTTCACAAAGTCTGCATTTTACTCGTCTTCCTATTTTCAGTGTCTAGCAGTGCTTTATAACTAATGAACAATTTTGTTTTCAATTATAGAGACAGCTGCTGTAAAACGGAAAGGCAATCCCGCTTACTCTCTTCAATGTGGCTCGTAAAGTTGCGCTACCTTCATTATGATACTGTCTTTCTCTCTAACCACACTAACTCCTCTCACTACTCCCAACATTGTGACTTTCTACTCTGTCTTTCCCCCTTCCAAAAGAACACCTCATATCCTATTTTGCAAAAACGCTCAGCAAACAATGGAGAGATGCCACCTTCATTTACTGCAGTTCACAGCAGCCTGCATGTCCACTCTCCATCCTCCCTCTTTTCCATAGCCTGTCTCCTCCAGGCCTGTGTGCCATGGACTATTGCTTTAACCACTCTAACAGTGTCTGTCTGAGCTGTCCCAGGCACCCTTCTTCTTCCGACTATCTAAAACAAGTTCTGCCTATGTGCTGTCTTCCCAGCCTCACATCCCACCCGCTCCACCCAGTTTCAATAGGTGCCAGTCTGCCATGTCCCCTGCATCACCACTTTTGCTGGTGGTTGTGACTCACAAGGACTTTTCCTTCCTGGTGGACAGGCCAGTATGCTGTCATGACTTCAGCTCTGGGTTTCCAATTCCTCAAATGGCTTAAACTACATTTCTATGTCATGTAATTAAAAACTGTAACTCACCGGGCAGTGGTGGCACACGTCTTTAATCCTAGCACGAGGGAGGCAGAGGCAGGTGGATCTCTGTGAGTTTGAGGCTAGCCTGGTCTATAGAGCGAGATCCAGGACAGGCACCAGAACTACACAGAGAAACCCTGTCTCGAAAAACAAAAACAAATTGTAACTCACTTCACGTCTCCCTTTTTTTGCAATTTATACCATTTCAATTATAGTCATGTGATCTGATTTAACCTCAATTTCAACCAACAAATGACAAGCTGTGTGAGACATGTCTTGTTCAATTACCTACATTGAGCACAACAGTAGGTCCATAGTAAGTGATCAATAAATATTTTAAATGTAAAGAATAAATCTCTTGTTTCCCTCCTGGCCAAGAGTTTCCATATCATGCTCATACATCTTTGTACCTGGAGCACAGCTTAGCCTCAGCCTCCACACATACAGTTCATTTTCCACACAAAATACCACTTGCAGTAGTTTAAAGTCTCTGGTATCTTCTCAGTAGTCCTGAGATTAACCCCAAAAATTCAGAAAAGATCATACACACCTTATAATCTAACCTTTGCCTTCCCTTTTCAGTACCTGCCTCTCCCCTCAGGTCTCAACCCCTGTTCTCTCAGCTATAGGCTTTCATATGTGGTGCTCCTCTGCTGGAATCTGGTCCCAAAGAATTCTCTGCTTTTCCACAAACACTGAACTTGTCTAGCATTTTGAGCTGTATCAGGCTCTCCATAACTGTGCAGCCCCCTCCACCTAAAGATTTATGGTCCTTGGGAAAGATGTACAGTTAAAAGGGTGTGCTTCAATTTTTCATTTCTGCCTTTTTGACTCTTTGCTGGCTTTTAAGTCAACTGTAGAAATCATTTAATATATTTGAATATCCTTTTCCTCATCTATAAGAGATGAGAAAAATTGCTTCCTTCACAGTTCTAATGAAGATTAACTAACACAATACAAAAAAGTTCACTTATCTTTAAAAGTCATAGAAATTGCTGGTATTATTGCTCTGAGAGACTGAATATGTGCAGGAAAGAAACAGAAAGTTGTGAGCTATAGAGGCCTTCCTAGAAACACAAGACTTTGCTCAGTTTGCAGATGGCAAAACTCAAGTTCTAAGACTCCATTTCCTAAGCAAATGATAGAAATGATTGGAAATGAAGACTCCTGTCTACTTCAAGAACCCAATCATCCAGCTACAACACAAGAGAGGCCCCTGTGGACCTGTGGGTCCCTCACTGCACCCAGCTGTGCACCTTTCCGGTCTACTCCAGGTTTAAACAGCTGTGCACCCTTCCGGTCTACTCCAGGTTTAAACCCACTCATGAAACTGCCTTTTGTCGTCATGCAGAGTGGCTATGTATGTGTACACACACACACACACCCCCCACAGTGACTTACCTACCCTTGTAGTCTCTATGCAAGAGATCTGACATAAACAGACAAGTCCCTAGGCACCTTGCAGATAGAGTATGTGACAAGCTCCTGGTCACCTCACAGATGCAGATATTATCTACATAGGGCAAGTAGATATGATTAACATAAATGCACCCCGGCTGAAGGATTTTTATGTCCTTTTCCAGTTAACTGGCAGTGTGTGAGTTTCTCTATTTAGCCCTTAAATATGAAATACACAAATGATATGTAATTTGACCTTATTCTCTCAGCCACATGTTAAATAACACATTTGTTCACTGACACCTTCTGAAACCTGCTTCTACCTGCCTCAGAAAACAAAGTGACAAACCCTGTTATCTCTCCCCACCAGCATCTGTATTGTCTGGATCCCTATCTCTGAACATCATCATACGGTAAAAGAGGACTCCCTGCATTTATAAATGAGTCCCTGCCATAGCCACACTTCATCCGCATGTACTATAATAGCTATGTGGCTATTTTCAGTCTTGATCTAAGGACACAATGAATGTCTCTGCAATGCCTTTATCTTTTCAGAAATACCGTGGTTTCAGGGCACTGATGGCACACGCCTTTAATCTCAGCACTCTGGAGGCAGAGGCAAGTTGATTACTGTGAGTTCAAGACCAGCCTGGTTTAAAGAGCAAGTTCCAAAACAGCCAGGACTACACAGAGAAGCCCTGTCTCAGAAAAAAAGAAAAAGGAAAGAGAGAGAGAGAGAGAGAGAGAGAGAGAGAGAGAGAGAGAGAGAGAGAGAAAAAAGAAAGAAAGAAAGAAAGAAAGAAAGAAAGAAAGAAAGAAAGAAAGAGAGAGAGAAAAAAGGAATATGGGAGTCACCTGTTCATACACCATTCATCCCAAAGTTAGCACATATCCTTAGTTTCTATAGTTAATTCTACCTTAATAATCCTACACAAACAGGCATGACCCGGCTAGAATGTGGAGAAAGCTAAAGGAAATCTGTGAAACATGGTCTTACTCATATAAAGGCATTAGAATTAGAATGGATTTTTTTTTTAACTACCTGTTCCGTTAAGAGTTGAAACATTCTCATCTCCTCCTCATCTGGGGTGACTAATCACTATTTATCTGCACACAGGCAGAGGCCGGGCACAGCATCAAGGGAAACTGGCTTCTATCCAGACCAGAGACATTTAGCATCTTCAAGACCCCAAGGTGTGTACTTGTTAGGAGACAAAGCTCCAAGTCACCCCACTAACAGTATAGAACACAGCAGACAGACCTCCACAGTCCGTCCGTCCTCCCCCCTCCACCCCTTCCCAACACCTTAGCTCTTGTCCATTTCTAATCACCAGGTACAAAATGATTTCAAAGATAATTGCTTCTGCATTTACAATGGCATTTATACATCTGCTTACAATAGGAAAACAAATCTCCCACCTTCAATCCAAAAGATACCCTCTTATTTTCATTTGGCACATACGATCACTGCACAGACAGGTTAACTTGATTCAGAGTTTGACATCACTGCCCTCAATATTCCAAAGACATCAAAATAAGGGTAGTATGACACCACTGCTAAGACCTGTCCCACCAACCCGGTGATGGACAGAATAAACAATGTTTATTTACTCTCTGATGTTCTTAAACATCATCGAGTGCCTCAGAGGGCAGATGGTCTTACATAAGAACATCCTAAATGAGGATGCTTATGTCCTCAGGCCCACCTGTGGCTGTGGGACCATCCACTCAGGTAAGGTATGACTTGTTTATCCTGGGTGACACTGTTCCTGTGAACTTTACAGACACTCTAAGTGGCCAGCTTATTCTACACCCATCACAAGTAGGGAGTCCTGTTCACCACGGAGGCTTCCATTGCCTGTTTGTTTCTATACCATTCTGTTCAACATACCATCCCATGAGAGATCCCATTTCTGTCTACACCAGAGTAAGTGACTATTCCAGACACCACAAATGACGTCTTCTTGTCTATCCCAAAGACAGACAAGTGCATAATGTGACCACAGACAACCTCAGACAAATCACATTATGGACAGCCATCCCCTCTAGGGAGCCCTGATATATGAAAACTTTGGCTATATCTGGAATTTCTGTATTCTTGTGAAATGAGGGATCCCTTTACATTCCTTCTGATTTCTTCCTCCCAATGCTTACATTCCTCTTTGACCACAGTCACAGAATTTACACCTCGGTCCCCTGCCCAGCTCCTCCCCTCCTCCCCCACGTCCTTTCAATGTTCACGCTTTCAGTCTTAGGCCTGAGGACTGGTTAACAAATGATGACTGTTTTGATAGAGCCCGGAGCTTCCATACCCCAGGTGTAGATAAAGCAGGAAGTCTGGGAAGAGGCCACACTGGGGGGTTGTTTCTCTGGGACTTGGTGCTTTTGAAGTAAAGCCGGGAGCACAGTTGGGGGCCAAGGGAGGGAGGAAGCTGGAAGGAAAACCACCCTCTCACCTCACCCTCTTTCTGTTTGGTGTGCGCTGCCCCCCCCCCCCCCCCCGGTCTGACCTAGCGCTGGCCAGAGTTCACTGCTAGGCCGATAGGAGGACAAGACTGTCTGTCCTGAGAACCCAAGATCCAGGAATAGGGGGAGGGGGAGACGGAGACTTGAAAACTGAGGCCCCGGGATTAACTCTCCCGGGCCAGTTGTGCCGAAAGGCTTTTAGAAAAGATGTTCACAACTAGGCTCTGAAAACGGGCTCCTGCACCCGCAATCGGGCTGGCTGGCTGCTCGAAACGGCTCTCTTACACTTTTCTAAGAACCTTGTTTTACCGAGGCCAACAAGAAGCTCCCTATAGACCGGTAAATAGGGGAGAGGGAACTCAGAGCATGGATCCCTGTTACAGATTTCAGAGCCTTGGTTAACAGCGGAGAGAGGTGTGTACACAGATTCACACATACGTACGCATGGAAATGCCGTGAAGATAACGAAGCAAGGCCCAGGCCTGGTTCCAGAAAAAAAAAAAAAAAAAAAAAAAATAGAGACAACACCACTTCCAGGTAAGGGACAGTGTAGAAACTGAAACTCAAGAATTCCCTATCCTAGGAGTTAGTTTTCCCCAGGCCCCCGACTTTGTGGGTGGGGAAAAAAAAAAGTTCTGGTTATTGGCCCGGGAAGCTCCCGGGGCAGGGTGCCCATTTCCAAGACGCAGCCCTGGCTGGGAAGCCAACTTTTCCAAGAGGCCATTCCTTCCGGCTCCCTTCCTCTTCCCCACCAGGTACTCAGCCCCTCACACTCGGAGCCCGGCCCCCTGGCCCAGCCCCCCATTTCCGGAGCCTGCGCCCCGGGACCTGGCAGGGACCGGTCCCCCGGGAGGCCTAGTTCTCGCTTCTTTCCCGCCCCGGCCTCACTCCCGCCGGGCGCCACGGCCCCCTGGAGCCCGGGGACCGAGGCCAGAGGAGGCCACCCACCTGGTCGGAGTCACATGCTGCCCCGGACCGGCCCGAGAGTCCCCTCCAGGTCCGGGCGCCCGCCGCGGTCCCCAGCCAGGCCAGGCCGCCCCGGCGCCCCACCCGCGGCCCGCCCCTGCCGCCGGACGGGAGGGAGGGACCGGCTTCTCCTAAGGAAGTTTCAGGTGAGGAAACATGGGACACACCTTCCCGGGGGAGGGGCAGCTCCGAGCAGAGCTGGGAAGTGCGGGCTCGGGCACGGCGGCGAGCGCCGACCCACAGCACCCGCAGGCCGCGGCCGTCCAGGGCCGGAGCCCCCCGGCCGCAGCCACTCGGGGAGCCGCATCCGAGAGCCGGGCACGGGATCCCCCGGTGTCTCTCGTGCCCCTGGACGCCCCTCGGTGTCTCTTCCCCCGTGGGTCCTCTTCAGGCCTCCAGCGGACCCGGTTGACTTTCTGGCCCTGGAGTTTGTCTTTGGCTTGCTGATGTTTCGGGACATCTGAGATTTGTGTTGTCCGTGTGTCTTTACCTTCAGGATGCAATGCAGTTTTCTCTTCCTTGGTGTTTGGCATAAGATAAAGGGTGTCTCTTGCCCAAGTTCTGTCTCTGTGCCTCTTTCTCTCCCTCTCTACCTTTATTGGGTGCCTGTGAAACATGCTTATATCTTTTCTGTTTGCGTCCATATTCCTAAATTCATTTTAAGAGCTTATGTCCAGTTTATGATCCTTTCCTGTTCTTTGCAGTATTCTGAGAGTGTATGTGTTTGTTTAGTATTCTGAGAGTGTATGTGTTTGTTTATACATAATTCTTAAGCCTGTGTCTTTGGTGTGTTCACACACACACACACACACACACACACACTCCCTTACCTAAGGACAGGGACTTTGGATGTTCTAAGCATAGGCTCTCTCCCCAAACCCACTCATTACTCTGGGAGGTTCCACAGTAACATGTGTCCAGGAGAATCGTAACAGGCTCTTTGGCTGTTTTGCTTTCAGGAACGCTGTGGTCCACAACGCCAAACAGTTTCGTGGGTAGACTGTTCCCCGATCCCTGTGTCGGCTGGCTGCTCCGCTGATCCTGGTACCAAGAAGAGGCCCAGCAGTTGTATGAGAGGCCCTGTGGAATAAAACTTGACCGAGGAAGAATGGCCTCCTCTCTGATAGTCCCGAAGCAATACTGTATTCAAAAAAAAAAAAAAAAAAAGTCCTAGTTCCGTCATGCTCCTTTGAAGGATTAAATTTTAAACAGTTAGCTAGCTTTGACACACTCTCAATTGTCATGAAAAACACAGGAAGTAAGAGGAAATGCCAAGACTAGGATTCAGCCATATAAGGGCAGGCCAGCATGCTTCATAAACCCAGCACAAGCCTGAGAACTAGGAGTGAAGTGAATCAGAAAATTAAAGCTGGCTGAAAAGTTTAGACTCCTTCTAGCCTGGGAGAGGGAACTTCAGCAATCAGAACGTCCTGATCTCTACTTGGTGAACAGGTTTTGTCAATTTCTAATCTAGAAGTTGCTGGTCTCTGACGGCTTCCGTAATGCTGTTTGGGATTAGCGGTGGGGATGGGGACGGGGTATTCATTTGGCTGCTCTTGGCCCTCCTTGGTATCAGCTTGCTTTCCCTGTTTTCTCTCCATCTGGGTCTCACACAGGAACCTCCTCGTGTTTGCTGATTCTGAGCAAATTCTTAGTATTTTTGTTCTTTAAGTCTTTTGCTTCTCTGCTCTCTGGCTCCTGTCCCAAGTTAAAAGGAAATGTTGACCTGGCTTTCCCATTGATAGTAGGATGTAGAAAAGTTGAACCGCCCAGTGAGGATGTTTTCTCCGCTCCTTGAGCCTGCCCCTTGTCTTTAGGGTGTCCCTGAATATAAGAGCAGTTTAGCGCTCCTCACTTTGCAGACTGAGTTTCATTATTTAGTGTATATTTTTCTTTTACCTTTCTTGGTGCCTGGACTTTGGAGTGAGGATTATCATCCTGTCCTGAGATAAAAGAGACTTTTTGGGGGCTCATATTTCCTCTAAAACTCTGAGATAAGAGAGGGGATGATAGTGGAAAGAGGATGGGATATATAGGTCCAGACAGATGTAGACTGGAATACTTGGATTTTACCTTGGCCACTTATTCAGCATGAAAATGTGGGGACTTTAACTTTCTGGTGCCTTACTTCGATGTTTCCATGAGTTGTTTCCCACTCTCATTGATAGTAGCTCCTCCCCTGGGTTGCTGTGGCAACTCAAGAAGGGATATAGAGAAATCACTTATACAAGAACACTGTATGGGAAGGTGCTGGATATGGGTTATTTTCCTTTTGTAATTTCTAAGAGGACCTGACAGTTATGAATGTGAAATGAATTTATAATAACAAGCTAAGAGGAAAATGGGTTCAGACTAAAGTTAATTTTGAATGAGCGCTGTATTTGGTGCAGAAGAGTAAGCAGGCTCTGGACTTGGAGGTCACTTCAGTCAGAGAAAGTGCCTCTGAAATCCAGCTAGGAGTGAGGAGAGGAACAAGGAACTTCCTTGTGTAGTTCTAGATGTTAAGGCTAAATTGTTTTGCAGTAGGAATGCACTTGCTTTAACCCTGTAGCTGCCATGGTCTTGAAGACAATCACCTGGTGTTCCGTGTTCCTACTTGGGCAACTCTGATTCCTGCCAATCCTATGCGAGCTCTGAATGCAGCTCACACATTCCTGCCTCTGCCTTTTGCCTGCGCGTATATCCCACCTTCAGACTGGAGTTGCAGTGAACTTCTTTTCTTAACTTGGGTGACTATGGTCTCTTCATCTCTGTCCTTTAAATCCACCCTGACTTGGTCACTACAGTTCTTAGCTATTTTGTTAAGAGTTTGATAAAAATATTTTTTTTCTTTTCTGCATTTTGGTTTTCACTTATTTGTTTTCTCAACCTTCCCACACTAGCACTTACTCAACTTAGTGCTATCCAAGGCATATGTACTAATTAATACCTTCATTTCCCCATCATCCTTTGCTCTATGTGTATTCACAGACACTGGGTATACAAAGAACAAGCCTCAGTTTCCACGGAGCTCCCCAGCACATCAAAGGCACAGACAACAGACTCTGATAGCCAACGGTGGCCAAGTGCTGTGTTATGAGGTTCACAATGGATATATAAAGGAGAGCAGACTTCACTGCTGGGGAAGCACAGGTGATCTAGTAGGTGAAGATATTTGATCAGAGGTTATAGAAAACTTGATGTGCCAGACTTTCTGGACTCCCCATGGGAGGCCTTACCCTTTCTGAGGAGATGGGGGATGGGGTGAGGGGGAGTGGGAGGAGGGGAGGAAGGAGGAACTATGGTTGGTGTGTAAAATGAAAAAAAATAAAAACAAAAAACAAAAAATGATTCTTATTTGTAAAGGAAGATACTGAAAGGGCAGATGCACGTTGGAAATAGTACATATAGCTAGAGAAGCCTGAGTATCTATCTTCTCATCAGGGAAGTACAAACAGTGCAATTTAAGCTTAGGACTGGTGAAACAATGGAGAATGTTTGGGAATGGTGGTCAGGCAGCCACATCAAGGAAGGCCTGTGGCCATGTTTCTACCTGGGTTAGGTACTATTCTCTGGAGATGGGCCTCCGGAGAACTGTGAGCAAGGTTACAATGTGATCAGATTAGATGTCAAGAAAGCCACTGTTGTTGGACTGTGGAGAACGGATGGGAGTAGGTCATGAAATGGAGATGTGGGGAAGCCCATTTAATGGGTGTGGTTGATAGTTGGTTGCACATCACAGTCTGTAGATAAAGCAGATGACACCCTGAACCAATTCTGGAGGAAGGACAAGCAAGAGAGGAAATGGAATTAAGAGTCAGGATGATTGCTGCTGCTGCTGCTTCTTCTTCTTCTTCTTCTTCTTCTTCTTCTTCTTCTTCTTCTTCTTCTTCTTTTTTTTTTTTGACATTTTTTCTTTTATTTTACAATACAATTCAGTTCTACATATCAGCAACAAATTTCCTTGTTCTTCCCCCTCCTACCTCCCTCCCCTTCCCCCCAGCCCACCCTCCATTCCGACCTCCTCCAGAGCAAAGTCTCGCCCGAGGACTGAGATCAACCTGGTAGAGGATGATTGCTTCTTGAAAGTAAATAATAAGTTCAGAACTGAAGAGTCGACGATGGGAAAGGTAAAATAGCTTGCTCACATGTAAATTGATGAGGTAGAATGGAAGACCCCAAAGTAAACCCACACACTTATAGGCAGTTATTGTTTTATGAAAGTTGTCAGAAATAGATCGGGGATGGGGGGCTCTTCAGCATATGATGCTGAGCAAACTGGAAATCCACATGTAGAAGAAGGAAAGTAGGTCTCATTCTCTCATCCTGTACAAAAACTAATTCAGTGCTGGATTAAACACCTTAACATAAGACCTGAAACTGAATCTTGCAGAAGCAAATAAAGGTGAAGCAAATGGAGACATAGTCAGTGGACTTCAGCAACTGACTCTGAAAGCATGGGAAATCATTTCAAGCATTTACAAATGGGATTGCAAGAAAAAAGTGTTTGTGCTACAAAGGAAATAACCACCAAATCAAAAGAGAACTACAGGATTAGAAAGATTCTTGGCCAACTATATATCAGACAAGGAATTAATATCTAGGCTATATAAAGAACTGCAAAGATCAAATAGCAAACACCAAATCATCCAATTAGTAAATGGGCTGTTTCGCTGAGTAGGGCATTTTCAAAAGAATGATTACAGATAGCTGGCAAATATTTGAAAAAGTGTTGGACATCCTTCACCCTCAGGGAAATGCTGGTTGGAACTGCTTCAAGATGCCATGTGACTCCAGGAATGGCTGTCATCAAGCAAAGAGACAACAGCAATGCTGGGCAAGAATGTGGGAAAAGTGAAGCTCTCATATATTGTTGGTACAGCTGCTACAGATACCAGTATGGGGGCTTCTTATGAAACTAAAAATGGAACCACCATGTGACCCAGCTGTACTTCCAGACATAGACCTGCAGGTCTGAAAGGCAATATACCACAGAGGTATTTACATAGCCATGTTTTCTGCTGCACCAGTCACAGTAGCTAAAAAATAGAGCTAACCTAGATGTCCATCAGGAAATCCATGGATGGGGCTGGAGAGATGGCTCAGTCTCTAAGATCTTTGGATGCTCTTCCGGAGGGCCTGGGTTCAATTCTGGAACTCCAGTTCCAGGTGATTCAATGCCTTCTGGCCTCCAAATGCTCCAGGCATGCATGTGTTCCTTAGACATGCATGTAATTAAAAAAAAAAATTAAAAAAGGCCGGGCGGTGGTGGCGCACGCCTTTAATCCCAGCACTTGGGAGGCAGAGCCAGGTGGATCTCTGTGAGTTCGAGGCCAGCCTGGTCTCCAAAGCGAGTTCCAGGAAAGGCGCAAAGCTACACAGAGAAACCCTGTCTCGAAAAACCAAAAAAAAAAAAAAAAAAAAAAAAAAAAAAAAAAAAAAAAAAAAAAAAAAAAAAAAATTAAAAAAGAATGCATAGAGAAAATGTACATATACCTGCTAGAATTTTATTCAGTCATAAAAATGAAATGATGGCATTTGAAAGAAAATGGATGGAACTGGAGATCATGTTGAGCAAGATAAGCCAGACTCAGAAAGACAAATACTACTACTTGTTTTCTCATATGCAGAATCCAGATTTAAATTTGTGTGTGATGGGGGGGACCATGGCAGGAGAAGAAGAGATTTTTAAAAAAAAATATTTTTTTTGTCATTATTTTATGTGCATTGCTGTTTTGCCTGCGTGTAAGTCTGTATGAGAGTGTCAGGTCTAAGAGTTACAGACAGTTGTTAGCTGCCATGGGGGTGCTGGGAATTGGTCCTCTGGTGGAGCAGCCAGTGCTCTTGACCAGTGAGCCATCACCTCAGCCCCCAAGAGGAAGAGATCTCCAGGGTGTTCCATAGTCATGGCCAGAATAATGGAGTCTGGCTTTTGCCCTCACTACCTTCATGACTCTATTTTACTTACAGGAAGATGAACCGATTTGCTGATAACTTTTCATTACATGGACTGTTTTTTTTTTCTCCGTGTGGGTACTTTAATTTAGGATTTAGAAACCACTGACCACAGTGATAGACGAACAAGCCTTCCCTGGAGCTCAGCTCCACTTAGCTCAGCTCCACTTATCATTTGTGTTCCAGAGCCAGAGCTTTAGTTTGCCTGATGTGTGTTGACATTGCCTGTTATTTTATTTATTGTCGGTAAAATGGGCAGTACTGTGGTAAGTCACTGAAGGAAAGAGTATGTTTTCTATGAAAGGCATGTGCATACTAGCTCAAAGGTTTTCACATTCAGGCATTTTCAGAGATTCCAAGTCAGCTATGTAGGTAGAAGTCAGTTATTTTATATATTAAAAAAGCTAAATAGACCACCACAACCTTACACACACACTGGAATCATGTTAATTTGTGGATTATTAATAAAAGGTGGTTTTAGCTTAACAATAAGCAAGGTTTTACTACCTCTACTGTCCCAAGGAGATAACCAGTCCACTGCCCCTGATGTCTAATAGAAGGAACAGGTAAACAATGTATGCACTTAGATCTTTATGTCCAGGGATTCCATAACTGGAGGATTCAACCATCCAAGAGTGAAATATGCCGGGCGGCGGCGGCTCTTTGTGAGTTCTAGGTCAGCCTGGTCTATAGAGCAAGATCCAGGAAAGGCACAAAGCTACACAGAGAAACCCTATCTCAAAAAACCAAGAATGAAATATTTGGAAAAACCCTGCATTTATACTAGACATATATATATTGTTCTCATTAATATTTCCTGAACAATGCAGTGTGCTAGGTTGTAGAAGCGACCTAGAGATGGTTTCAGTCTTTTGAAGGCTGTGCATAGACTGTATGCAAAAATCAACATTGTTTTATATAAGACTCTCGAGCATCTGCAGATGTTGATTACCACGAGTGATCCTGGAACCCATCCCCTTCAGATTCTGAAGGGAACAGCAATATATTTTTGTGACAGAGGTGTGTGCAGAGCAAAGTTTAGAGGAGGTATAGAGATACTTACTTCTGAATGAGTTTGCAAACTGAGCTCCACTTGCTGGTATCTTCCTGTGATATTGCTAGGATGGTAAATACATTAACGCTCATACTCTCATGGTCTGTGGAGGCTTGTGGTTCTTGAAATGTGTCCTGTGAAAGATGCACACATGTCTAGGTCTGCTCACTACTCCTGAGTTATTTGTAAAGGAAGGAGGTTTAATTTGGCTTCCAACACCAACCAAAGGGCCTTATGCTATTTCCATGCATGGAAGGGGGTTGAGACTCGGGTGTGCAGAGAAAAGAGAGAACATGAGTTACAGCCTTTGTGACAAGCAAGAAAGGTACTAATCTATGTAAAAGGCTGTGTCTCTATGACTCAAACATCTCTTAGGCGCCAGCTCCTACACTGCTGCACTGAGGACTTAAGGATCTTAAGTGCAGAGATTATATCCCATATCTCCATATTCCTAGTGTTTGAAAAGAATCATACAGTAAGTGAACCAGTGAATATTTGTTGAGTGAATAATAAATATAAAATAAATATGATATGACAAATAGTATATATTAGGATACATGAGATAATAGAATGTATAGATGAGTAGCCTCCCTTGATACTTTTAAAGACACAAGAGCTTCATGGCCACATTCAACAGTTACAGAAAAACAAAGATCAAGGAGGCAGTCTACTTCTTTACATAATGGTCTTCTTGGGTGTATTTAATTCGCCAAGGTGGCTCATCTAGTCTTAGCTGGCATCTCTGCCTGTGTTTCCTAACACTTCTCTTGAACATAGTTTTTTGAGGTTGACAGTTGACTCCTCCAGGAACACCCCTCCGACTCAAACACACACACACACACACACACACA